CGAAGCAATTCATGCCGTTTTATTGTTTTTAACGTTGAAATGACAAGTGCAAAAGGTGAAGATGAAGTTGTTGCGGAATTGTTGTGAGTACCCTTTTCAAGACGACAATTCAGTGAAAAGACGGACATTAATACGTTGGGGGGGGCGGGGCGGGGTGTGTGTGTATGTCTACAGAAGGTCCAGTTCTGATAGACACGGTTCGCCACTGTTAAATAGATCAACCAATCAGTTGGCATGACGAGCCAAGACTTAGTTTAGTTAGTTCTGAGATCTCGTGGTTACTTTGTGAATAGGAAAAGGAAACTCTTAGCTCAAAACACAATGACATTCATAAGAAATACTAGAAAGGTACTTTTTGAAAATGGCCTGTGGGCTGTTTACGTTATTTCTGAAATATAAAAAGAATATGGTTTGGAATTGGTTTAGCAAAAGAGGTTGAAATGTTTGTTTCTAGCTCTAGAATGACTTGTTGATCAACACAGCTTGTTTCCAAAGTTATTCCCCATTTCAAGCAACTCAACAGCCTTGGCGCTGTCATGTTGGGAGGAATGTGTCCTGTTAAGCCAGTCCCACTGGTTCCGACTAATTCTTTGTTGGACAGCTGTAAATGTAAAGAGAGAAAGCTTTAATCTGTTTAGGCTCATACAAGAAAGGCCCAAGTGAAGCAGAAATTTGAGAAAGGATTGTCAAAGACTCTTCCAACTCAAGCTGAGTTTCAGTGTTAGTAACGAAGTGGTTAACTACTGTATGATATCATTATCAACTGTATGGTGGTTTATTCAGTTAGTTAGCAGTACGTTTTTGATGTATACTATCATTCCTTTTTTGGTAGCTAATAAACATTTTATATTCTGGGCTAAAAATCTAATTTTCCAGAAAAGACTGGAAAATATTTCGTTGATCATTTCCAAATAGAATATCCCTAATTTTGATCATGCACCAGCTCAGGTGTCAAGCTTTTTTCTCTTGTTTTTTGTATTTTCAAGATGCTTATCAATGGAATCAGACAGTAGTACAACCCCCACGCCTGCAGGTCATGATGTTAAACAAAACAACTGAGATTCCTTTGGGAAAAAAGATTCCCAGCTACCCTTCAGCTCTTCCTGAACTCCCCACCTGAGAGGAAAGGTACCAACTTCCTCTCTCTCTGCCTGCTGCCTAAGAGTCCCCGGCTCTTCATTCCAGCGCATCTCTCAGCACTGCCTCTCTTATCCCTACTCCACACTCCGCCAGAAAAGCACCTGAGGGTCTGCACTCCTCCACAGGTATTTCTGCTGAAAGCTATAATAAATCATTTGCCTTTTGTGTCTCTCCTTCTGCCTATTTTGCTAATGTGTTTTCTCTCCTCCATTCTGGTTTTGGAGTTGAAAGAGGCCTACTTTAAATAGGTGCAGGAGTGTGCTAAGACGGATTCAGTGCTCGCAAGTGATTCTTTCTCCTTGTCATCACTCCAATGCCCCATTTCCCCAGGCTGAATAGCACAGGAAGCATAGTGCTGGAGACACATTGTGACAAGTCGCAGGTAAAGAAGGGAAGAAGAGGAAGAGGAGGGGAAAAAGAATAGGATTTGTTCTATATGTAATAATTGAATATTTGATTCGTAGTCCTCCGTTGACTTGTGTTGCTCTCCACAAGTGTTTTGAGCGAAGCTGCGTATCAAATGCCAGTGACTTTGTTTGTGGTAAAGTGACTCTGCAGGGAAGAAATGATAGTGTTTATTCAAAGGGGAGAATTTCACATTTTGACCAAATTGACTCTGTACAGGGAAATGCTCAGCAGGCCATGTAAATATCAGGAAAGGTTTAATGAAACCAAGAGGGATGACAGTTTCCAAAGTACATATTATCTATGGAGAGGTCACAGTGGGAAGGCGGCCCGCCATCCGTCTGCATTGCTTTTGGTGGCCAGAGAGTCATTAGCCATCATTGGAATGTTTTGGTCAGGGCTTCGTTTGAGCTCAAGCTTTCTTGACAACCCCTTCCCCACTGTGTCGTCCACCCCCNTGAATAGGAAGAAGAAACTCTTAGCTCAAAACACAATGACATTCATAACAAATACTATAACGTAAACAGCCCACAGGCCATTTTCAAAAAGTACCTTTCTAGTATTTGTTATGAATGTCATTGTGTTTTGAGCTAAGAGTTTCTTCTTCCTATTCACAAAGT